GCGCCAGGCCGTGGGTACTATTTTAAACATTAGGAATATGACAGTGAATAAAAGAGAAGAAAATCTCTGCCTTCAAGAAGCTTACATTCTAAAAAAAATGTACAGTTATACCTTACTTTCACATTCTAAACACATCAAAGTTGTACAGAACATGACTTTCACTTCCAGCCAAAAAGGAATAACTGGCACACTTGACATGCCATCATAAACAGTCAGAAACTGAACATTATAAAATAATTGTTTTAAAAATAGGCAGCAAAAGACTGTAGTCTCAGAAAAAACAAAAACAAACCAAGTGAGTCTCAACTTCCTGCCAGGACCTTATCACCAGGAGGGAAAACCAAGCAGAGCAGGGTAGTTTCACCGAATTGAGGTGCCAGAGATGGGAGTTTTGAGAAGCTGAGGTGGCTTGAATCTACAGGACAGAGTTTCAAGAGAGTAAGATATGCGGAGAAATGGCTACAGAAATCTGCACAGGGCCATAACTGGAGCATTTTGATGAATGCTAAGCTGTACGTGTGAATCCAGGTCAAGAACAACTGCAAAGCACAAGGTGAACAATTCACTGAGATCCCACAGCACTGGGAGGCATTCACATGTGACCAGCCAGAGTGGACAGCTCTCACGGAATACATGGATTTTGTAGAAACTCCATGTTTACTGTAAGAGTAAACTAGCTCTAGCGAAAAGGCTACTCTGTATCCAACCTAATAAAGCTTAAAACAAGCCTCCAAAAGACTAAGCTGAAACATAAGAAACTTAACTGCCAGCCAAAACAAAATTCAACATTCTTTAAAGGGAGACAATAAAATTTAGATACTCAGCAAAAAAGCATTCAAAATGTCCACCATTCAATTAAAAATTGCTAGACATGAAAAGTAGCGGAAAATGTAATCCACGTAGCTAAGAAAAATAAGTCAATAGAAAAGAATCAGAAAATCAGCAATTTCAGTGAAATTAGCAAACAAGACTTTGATACAGTGAGTCTAAGTATGTCCATGAAGTAAAATGAAAAAAATGAATATAATTAAAAGAGAACTGTAAGATATTTAAAAAAAGACCTGAAAAATACAACATCTGAAATAAAAAATTCACTGGATGGGCTTACCAGCAGATCAGACACTGCAGAAGAAGAGATCAGTGAACCTGTAGACATAGCAGTATAAACTAACCAAAATGAAGCAAAGAGAGAAAAAGATGGGGGAAGGGGAGAAGGACAGAATAATAATGAACTATGGATCACTATCAAGCAATTTAAATATGTATACTCCAGAGTACCAGAAGCTTCAGTGATAGGAGGGGGTGGAAAGAGGGAAGTAGGCAGAAAAAAAAATTCAAGACATAACTGATAAAAATTATTTAAATCTGATGAAAACTATAAATCCACAGATCCAAGAAGCTTAATGAACTCCTAGTAGGATAAACACCAGGGAACATCATTATCAAGTTTTACTCTATCTAATAAAAAAACAAAAAAGTGTAAAATATTTCATATAGGATCAAGATATTCTGCGTTTTCATTCTCAAGGCCCGTAAGAATGTCATTATGTATTGTATTCTCTAAATCTTAAGACATTTAACCAGAGAGACAGAGATTACCACAGATTCCATAATCTCTGAGATCTGCATTTTATAAATTACCTTGAAAATACTGGAAGTAGCCAATATTTCTTTTCATCACCAAAGACTTGTCTCCAGTTTTTACTGCATCCAAGAGAGAAACCATTTCCATCAGGTCCATATGAAAATGTGGGTGCACGAAATGATTCTGTTAAATATAAATATATAAATTAATTAATCTATTTAAAAATTGTAGGAGGGATTAAAAGTACCGATTTTCTTTTTTACATCTTTAATGTGAAAAACTTTAATTTAAAATAAAGAATGTATCTGTAGCAATTAACAAATTTCTAAACTTATTTGGCGAAAAATAGCACATTTACCATTTCATCAACCTTACATCAAAATAATTATCTAATACTTCCAGAAATCTACTGTAGTGTGTTCAGTGTATCTTTAAAAAAGAAAGATGTTCTAACTGTTGTAACTTCATCATTTATCAACTTCCCACTATGTTCCTGATGGCATAGTACCAGCTATTTGGGATTCAAAGATAAAGGAGATGAAATTCCTACCAAAGAACCTACAGTCTAGCAAAATAACAATGTGATAAGTGCTAAAACACTCAGGCTGCACTGGGAGCACAGAGGTGAAGGAATCTGATTTTGTCTGAAAAAGACTTGTGTGTGTCTTTGGGGTAGGGAAAGGTGAAGGATGGAGGTGGTGGTACTTGAGCATGATCCTGAACAATGAATAACAGGTGTGGAAGCAGACAGTGATTACAGATCATTTCAAGGTTGATTGTAAAGTGATGTGGAGTAAGGTCTAGAGAAAGACACAGGTTTCATAAGAAAAGTTTTGTTTCTTTATTTAAAAACAGAATGCAGCCAGGCATGGTGGCTCACATCTGTAATCCCAGCAATTTCGGAGGCTTAGAGGGGAGGACGCTTGAGCCCAAGAGTTTGAGACCAGAGTGGGCAACATACTGAGGCCCTGTCTCTACAAAAAATAAAAAAAATTAGCTAGTCACGGTGGCACTGTAGTCTAGCATCTCAGGAGGCTGAGGCAGGAGCATCACTTGAGCCCAGGAGTTCAAGGCTGCAGTGAGCAATAATCGTGCCATTGCACTGCGGCCTGGGCAACAGAGTGAGACCTTATCTCAAAAAATAACAAACAAAACAAAACCAGAATGCACTTCAGCATGTTTTATAAGCTAAGGATAAGAATCCAGGGCACTGGGAGAGGTTGATGATACAGAAAAGTAGAAACGGAAGGAAAGGATCCTAGAAGAGATGGGAAGGCATACAGAGGAGCTCCTCAGAGGTCAGAGGGCAGGTGAAAGGGATGAGTGCGAAAGGAGGAATGTTTGCACAAGGCTATAAAGACGGGAAGATGAGAGTTTACTTGTAACTTTTTCTAATTTTTCTAAGAAGGACTCACAAAATGAACAAGGAGAGTAGGGAGAATGGCGAATGGTGAAAATGTGGAATAACCACTGTTAACAGGTGAGGAATCTGACCAGAAACATGTGACTTTACTGCCAAACAGAGTTGAGGGCCTCAGTGAGGTCTGAGACCTCGAATCTGTACTTGTAACAATCCCTACAGGAGGACATCCTGCACCAGCCCCACCGTACATGTGGATAAAGTGGATGGCCTAGGCGAAGGATTAGCAAAGGAATTATGGGAGAAAGCCTAGATGCAGAAGATGCAAGGCTACTGTCAAGAGTTGCTCAAGTCATTTATCACAGGATCTAGAATGGGCACGGGTGAGAAATGAAACCAGAACCGAAAGAACTGAACTTGGGAGAAAAGTGTTGGAGAACTGGGTAGGCAACAGGAAGAAGAGCAGAGGTGACATGGCAGAATAAAATACCCTCTATGCAGCAGTGGAGGGTATGTAGCAGTGCAGAACTAGCCGAAGACCAGGGGTGTGGGAGTTGAGCCTATAAAGTGGTGTGCTAACGCAATGTTTTTTTAAAGTGTGGGTTAAAATACCTTAATAAGCCATAAAATCAATTTAGCAACTTAGAACCAGCATTTCCTTTTAAGGAACTAGAAAACATCACAGTACATTGGACACAGTAGAGATCAATGATGTTTTGTGAAACTTTTGCTTATTCTATTTACGTAATTTTATAACTGTGTACATGTTCTAGATCATGATATAAAATGATGCATTTTTTACCGTGGTCACTGGCAGAAAAAGTTTGAAAAAGATTGTTCAAAGAGAACAGTGGGTTCCCTGGAAGCGCCAATCTCTCAGATACCTATAAGACCTGGGCACGAAACAAACGAAGCGGCCTTGGTGAGAACTGTGGCAAACTACAGCGCTCATGCGCGATCTAAAGCAGTCCACTGCCGCTCAGCTCCACTGACTAACACCAGCTGGGGACGTGGGCCCACACTACCAGAGTTATCATTTTGAAAAGAAGGTATCTGGTTTTCTGTGTGAAATGTCTCACATAGATTTTAGCTATTGTGGAGGTCTTAAGGGATGGACTTTGCAAGTAAGCTGCCTTTTAGTCATCTCTGATGAAGGGTAAGAAGATGGCAGGAGACTCTGTGAAGAGGACAAGCAAAGCAGTTAATAGGGATAAGGAATTTTATTTACATGGGAAATGGATGCAGGCAGGATGGGAGGGGACAGCTCAGCAGGGGAGAGTAAGCTGGGGAAGAAGGGCGGAGAGATCTTTCTGGTGGAAGCCACCATCACCAGCATGACTCAGCAGCACACATTAAACTGATCCAAATACAAAAGTATCAATGTGTCTCTCTAAAATCTCTTCATCTTTATGTTAAAAACTGTTTCTTTCCAATTTTCCTGGCAGATACATGGCTTTAGATGGCATGGTTTGTAACTTTCTTACAAAACATTATAATAACATATCCCTGGTTTTGTATCTTGGTACATCAGCAGATATACAAATACTTCAAGTAAAACACAGCGATGCTTCCCACATGCCAACAGCTCAGTGTAAGCAACGCCACCATCTCTGTTAAGTAAATATTTGTGCAATTACTTGAATATCTTACTGAATTTTTCCCCTAGTTTCATTTTAAAAGTGAGCAAAAAGAAAAAAAGGAAATAAATGCTGATACTAGTGATACAATACATAAGTTTCACTGACAACTGACACAAAGATGGAAATAACAAAGCACATGAAAAGCACTATTCCTTAGCCTCAGTCATGGAACATATGCCAGTCAAATGAGTAACTGGGGGGGAAAAAGTAAAGAATATATATAAACTATACTGTTATGTTGTAGCTAAAAGATAAGATGTAATTAGAAGGATTAAAAAATTTTTTTGCTATCTGAGAATGAACCTCCTTAAAGCATGTAAATCTACTTTCATTGCTTTTTTTAATGTTGGCCCTTCCTGTGGTTTTTCATTTTTTAAATTTTATTTTATTGATACATATTTTACATATTTATGGGATACATGTGAGTATGTGTTACATACATAGAACGTGTAATAATTAAGCTGGGGTATTTGGAGTAGCCATCATCTTGAGTATTTATCATTTCTATGTGTTGGGAACATTTCAAGTCCTCTCTTCCAGTGACTTTGAAATATACAATACACTGTTGCTAACTATAGTTACCCTACTGTGATATTGAATATTATAACTTCTTTCTTTCCTTCTTTTTTTTTCTTGAGATGAGGTCTTGCTGTGTTGCCCAGGCTAGGGTGCAGTAGTGTCCTCATAGCTCACTGTAGCCCAAAGCTCCTGGACTCAAGCAATCCTTCCAAGTAGCTGGGACTACAGGTGTAAGCCACCACACCTGGCTAATTTTTTTTATTTTTTGGAAAAGAAAGATGGGGTGTCACTGGGTTGCTCAGGCCTGTCTCAAACTCCTGACCTCAAGCAATCCTCCCACCTTGGTCTCCAAAAGTGCTGGGATTGGCCAGGCACGGTGGCTCGTCTGTAATCCTAGCACTCTGGGAGGCCGA